AGATGGTGTCGGCGCTGATTCGGTTCATGTAGATACAGGTGCCGGTCTCCACGTCGTAGAGATGGATATAACCGTATTTCGTGATCAGGTAAACGATGTCATACTTGGGCGACATCTGCATCGCTACCGGAAAGTCGTTCTGTGCTTCGGGCGGGAAGAACACATCCACCGCTTTCTTAGAGTACGGCTGATTCCCGGTCGCAGGCGTTCCCACTTCGATGACATGCAACTGTGGAGGGAAAGGGAGTGTTGGATGTGTTAGTCATGCAATTAAACATACAATGAGAGGCACCCATACCTTTCCACCGGCCTGTGTTCGGACGGCATAACATAAAAGGGTCGATATTTCGCGATTTCCTTCGCATTTGAATTGAGTGAACGCCGCCGCGAGGCCGTCGATGGGTTTACTGACCTTCCGCTCCACACTATACAACTGCATCGCACCCACCACTCGGTTTTGCTATGAGTTCCCAATCAAAAAAAGACAACACATTAGTACAACCATTGCTCGCGCGCACCACTACTATAAGGCCCACAGACATCATCGCTTACCTGAGCGGAGATCCCAATCAACAGCAACCACTTCAGCGAATGATCGCACCTGTAATTTATGATTTGACAGCCGTTGAGCGACGTGTGTCTGTCGAACATCTTCGCGGGCAAAGAGTCCCCTTCCATAGACCAGTGAAACACAGCCGTCTCCGTCACCAATGCTATGGCATTGACGTTAATCCACTTCCAGAAGACGACGTCTTCGTTGATGGTGTGGGCCTTCATCTTAGACTTCATCTCAATGTTGAATATCTGAAGCGTTCGCATCGCTATTGGATCCCAAATACAGACAACAAGTAGTGGTTTAATGGGTTATCATTAGAGCTATTGGTTATCAAGTCGTGCCGATTGTCATCGACTCGAGTGATCCACTATTCAATGGTATACTTCTCAATGCGATGACTGGTCTGTGGGTTCATAATAGCCGATTGACAGTCGGCGCTTATGGGCCGTCGGATAACCGTCGGACTGTTGGCCATATCGATGATGACTACCTCAGGTTGACTACAACCTGCTGTGAGAGAGTAATCAATACAATAGCAGTCACTCAATTTCATTATCAAATACTATTAATTTCTACTTTTTTAATAATTTGACTATAACATTTTTAATAATTCTGTTTTCCATTCATACCGGTGCTGTCATTCAGTAAAAGTAGTGTAGAGTTTAATTCAACGCTAACACTATTGAAGGTGTTTTATATACACAAATACAATAATCATTATTCATATTATCAATTATAAGTTATAATTCAATTTGAAACCTTAAAAATAAAATGATTGCAGTTTTCCATGAGTTTTATAAATCACTTCTCAAAATCAACTCATAATTGAACCAAACTTTCAAAAACTTTTGGCTGACATTCAGCGCACTCTATGACAGCATTTGTGAACCAATTGACTGTCTGTTCAAAACACACGTGCATTGCATGAGTGACTCAACCAAACGACAAACACTTCACCACTTCTTCGGGCAGACCATCGATGGCTAAACGCAAACACAAGCCACCGGTCAACGAGTCCATTGAGGAACAGGTGCTCAAGAAGTACCGCGACTACCAGAAGTACAACAATATAGCCGGCAATCAGTCAGAGGTGACCGGCGAAGGCACCTCTGAAGCGGTGGTCAACGAAGACATCACCGAAAAGGACACCATTCGGGCCGACAGTATCATCAAAGAAGTGAAGAAGATTAAGGACGAGAACACGAAGAATGCCATCAAATTGAGAAAAAAGGCCAAAAAGTTGGCTAAACAACAGACACGACAACAGCAACAAGAGGTGAACCAAACCACTGGTGATGATAAGGACGCGGACACGAAGACATCGACCAAATCGGTGAACGCATTGCAGTACTTGAATGACTGGAAACAGCGGCCCAACGACTGGAAGTTCAAGAAGTCGTTACAGATTTGGTTACTCAAGAACTGGAAGAATAGCGAACTGATCGGCGACACCGACTTCGACCTCTTCGTTGAGTACATATTCGCCGCAAACAGTCAGTCGTTGGCGAAGACGCGGCTCCAGACGGAGGCCAAGGCTGTGATCGACGCTCAAGAGGTGACCACCAAAGCCGTCGCCGACGACGACAACGATAGCAACGAATCGGAGACCAACCCAACGGCTGAAGACATAGTGGCCGATAGGGCTCGACGTGTGCTTCAGTGCGCGCTGTGAGAGGCCATGGATGAAGACAAAGACATTGTCCATCGCTTGTGGGCACAGGACTGCTGTTCGCGCTTTGATTTTGGCGACAATTTCATCAATTTATGTGTCATTTGTTTTCTGATTATTGTTTTCTTTATTGTCATTCATTTCGAGAGAAAACATACAAAAGTCGGGGAAAACTCTCGGCAAACAAAAAGTGATTAAAAAAAGTTTTTGTTTTGTTTTAATTAAATAATAAGATATGAATACCTCTGCAAAACAATTCAGTGTTTTTTGCTAAACACACACTCAATGCGTGTGTTGTGTGTGCGGAGAGACATACAGAGGGAAACGGGATGTAATGTGTCGGTGCCCTACAATTAAAGACCGATATTTGTGGTGTTATATCTAATCGTATTAATTATAATCATATATTTTTATAATTAAATCAAAAAAGTCATTATAACTGACTATTCAGTATGAATAGGAAATTACAATAAAATAGTATTTTGTTTTTCTCTACAAATAATTACATTAAAGTTACAGAAGTTTCTACTTTTCTTAATAAACACAAAAACGTTAATTAAAAGTATAATAAACAAAAATAGGAGTTCCAGTAAATAAAAATAAAATTTACAATCAATTTAAATAGTGAGAGGGAATACCTGTTTGTGTGTTTGTCTAAGCGATTATGTCTATTTGTATTTTGTTGATTGTTTTTTAAAACACATTCTCTTATATAATAAGAATTTGTTATTAAATTATTATATATTTTTCAACGAAAAAACAAACAAATTATCAAAAACCTGTAATACAGTTATCGCACTTCACTCATAGAGTTAGCCAGGTACTCGCGATTACCGTATAGAATTCAGTGGTTTTCTCATTTATAATTACAAAATTTAAAGCCAATAATGATTTGTGTATTTATTATGAATATTATTATTTTGCGATTCATTTCCAGTGGGGCACTGAAAACCTAAAACAAAAAAAGTTGGAAAAATCGGTGAAAATCCTCGTGAAATAACACATAAAATATTAATCAATAGTTTAATTAATAATTTAATGACTAAACTATAAATATGCGCCCATTTTGTGAGTATTAAAATCGTTAAAAACCTATTGAAACGAGTCATAAAAGTGTACTTTTATTCAAATGGATTACTTGTGGTCTTCACTTTGAGAGTGCACTGTCTGTCCGATTGTCTGTCGGAAGTGTGTGTCTGACAGACAAATGCCATTTCGCAGACATATTACTGTCGGTCGCAGATATTAAATGGTTTATAACATTCATAACATAAATGGGTTTAAATAGAGACTTCTATAAGTCAAACAACAAGTCATACAAACGGGTATAACACTAATCGTATGGGGAATGACAGCAAAAGACTTACCTCTAGTTTTGGACATCTCTTACTCTCTCATGACTGTAGTATACATTAGTTTCTGATAGGACTGGACGAGCCTTTCGAACGGTGCGATCGCGACGACCGGTGGGAGGACTCGCGCTCTCGATCTGCGGGACTTCGGGATCGGGATCTTCGGGAACTGGTCGACGACCGGTGTTTGTGTCGCGACGAGCGCTCATTCCTATCGTTATTCCTATCATTCCTTTCATTATTCCTGTCGTTTCGCTCATTATTCCTATCATTCCTCTCATTCCTATCACTTCTGTCAACAGTTCTGTCATTCCTATCACTCCTGTCTGACCTCTCGGAGCGCTCCGAATGGCGCCGGGAGTCCCTCTCGCGCGACCTCTCTTGACCTCCCTGAGCCGTTGCCGCCGCCGTTCGCTCTCTATCTCTGGACCGATCGCGCGATGACCTCTCGTGCGGCGGCGATCTCTCTCGATGTCGACGCTCATCCCGATTGTTCCGCTCCCTATCCCTGGCATCCCTGACCTCTTTCACCGCGGCCTCGGCCTCCAGCTTCTCGCGATCCCTGTCCTGTCGCCGGCGCTCCAGTATGTCATCCAACGCCGTCTTAAGCCTCCCGAAACCCATATGCTGTTTGCCCATCAGGTGGTCGTCCACTCGTTGCTGGACATCATTGACTATAAGGAAGGCGCCGCACACGTCGCACACCTCCATCTGCTTCTCCTGTTGGGCCCCAATCTCCGCCTTCTGTTGAATCCAGTGGTTGTTAGGCATGGCGTCCCTCTTAATGGCCGACTTCTCCTCCTTGAGTTTGTCCACCAGTTTCATCACTCCCTGCGCCTCCTCTACCTTTCCCTCGCAGCCCAACGTCTCGATCTGTTCCAGTAGTGTATCGATGCGTTCGGTCAACACTTTAATCTTCTCCTGAAGCTCTTCGGAGAGGACGGCGTTGCCGGCCGTCAGACCCGAGTTCTTCTCGAGTTGGCTCATCTCCAGGCGCTGTTTCGCTCGCTTTATCTTACGCTCGACTTCGTTGAGCTGCGACTGACAGAAGCGGATGAACTCGTCCTCAAACACCATCTTCTCCTTCTTGCGGGCCCTCTGCTGGTACTCCTTCTTGAGGAAGTCGTCGTGAACCAGATTACACGGCCCGATGTCGGCCCTCGTGTTCGTGAACAGACTGTTCGGACAGAACTGCACTAAGAAGTGACGGCAGACCTGTTGTCGCGAGTGGTGGTCACCAGAGATGGTGCGGTAAATGAGATATAATTAGTGCTATGTTTGGCGATCAGTGTCTCGTGAGTGGTGTACTAACCCCGGGATCATTCCAGTCGAGCGATGACTTCTTCTCAGAGGCCGCCAAATCCCGTTCCCGACCCATGAGTTCGTCCAACAGCTGTTTGGCCGCATTGATGGCCATGTCTTGTGGTGTAAGCGGCGGCCGATCACCGCTATTGGATCCGTTTGATCGGTGTGTTTGTTATGTAAACAAAGCGATCAGTTGGTGATCTCTGGCACCGACGCGCGTATGTATGAGACGATGAGGTGCTGTAGTGGTGCGGATGGTGTCTGCGGTGGTGTGGATGAGATAATATCAGTGATAATCGGGTGATAAGACACTCGCAGTTCATATGGTTTTGTGATTAACTGTTAAATGTGTTCATAATAGCAATGCTGTGATTGTATGGCTTTCACAGCCACTGGCGCCACATATTAGACGGCAATGGCGTTCACACACACTATCACTGCATTTGATTCATAACTTCTTGAGGTTTGTGTCCACAGATATGAACGGATGAGTTGGGGGTCAGTGGGTGTGGGAGAGCCCGAGGAAAGGGATGGAAATATAGAGGAAAATAGTAATTATGAGTAAAATTTAAGGAAATATAAGTGAAGTGATAGTGAAGTAAAATAAACTTTTTATTTCATTAGCAAAGACTGGAAACTTTTATGATATTCTGTATGAATACCAGGCCTCCCTATCTCTTACTTTATGTCGTGAAAAATTGATTCACAATTAAATCACTTTATTATCAATTAGTTTTTAGTGACAAAACTTTTTTGCATTACTTTGCGCGAGATTTACATGAGTTTGCAATTGTTATGCCTCGCGGTTGCTGTCATTAAAAGTTTGAATACTCTCACAGAATATTCTCGATTCAAATGATTCTGTAGTCAATAATTGTCTAACGAAAACAGACATCGATTTATATCCGGGTAATTAGTGTCGTGTCTCGCATACAATGGGTAACTGGTGGACGACATTACCACCATTTCCTATAATAATGAACACCACGTCGGAGGTGACGGACTCTCTGGAGGAGGCCGACCGCAAAGAGTTGTCCAAAAAGACGGGCTTTACCTACAGACAAGTGGATCAGCTGTACGAGCGCTTCGAGGAGTTGCTGCGGTTGAGACCGAAGCCCAAGAGCTTGAAAGCCGATGAGAACCGCAGCAGCAAAGACGACGAGCCCCGGGTGCTGACGAAGGAGACGCTGGGGTTGATCCCGGAGCTAAAGGTCAACCCATTGGCCGACCGGATAGTTGCGGTGTTCATCAGTTACGCCGAGTCCACGAACGCTATGACACGCAAAGAGTTTGTGTCGATTATGGCTAAGTTTAGGGGCACTTCGGGCGCCGCCGATGATGTGAGGGGTGAGAAGCGCGAGGAGAAGATGCGGTTCCTCTTCAAGATCTACGACACCAAAGGTGACGCCAATATAGACAGCGAGGAGTTGGAAGAAATTCTGAGCAAAATCTTACCGAAGACCGACAAAAAGAAGATCAGCCANTGGGAGGACTCGCGCTCTCGATCTGCGGGACTTCGGGATCGGGATCTTCGGGAACTGGTCGACGACCGGTGTTTGTGTCGCGACGAGCGCTCATTCCTATCGTTATTCCTATCATTCCTTTCATTATTCCTGTCGTTTCGCTCATTATTCCTATCATTCCTCTCATTCCTATCACTTCTGTCAATAGTTCTGTCATTCCTATCACTCCTGTCTGACCTCTCGGAGCGCTCCGAATGGCGCCGGGAGTCCCTCTCGCGCGACCTCTCTTGACCTCCCGGAGCCGTTGCCGCCGCCGTTCGCTCTCTATCTCTGGACCGATCGCGCGATGACCTCTCGTGCGGCGGCGATCTCTCTCGATGTCGACGCTCATCCCGATTGTTCCGCTCCCTATCCCTGGCATCCCTGACCTCTTTCACCGCGGCCTCGGCCTCCAACTTCTCGCGATCCCTGTCCTGTCGCCGGCGCTCCAGTATGTCATCCAACGCCGTCTTAAGCCTCCCGAAACCCATATGCTGTTTGCCCATCAGGTGGTCGTCCACTCGTTGCTGGACATCATTGACTATAAGGAAGGCGCCGCACACGTCGCACACCTCCATCTGCTTCTCCTGTTGGGCCCCAATCTCCGCCTTCTGTTGAATCCAGTGGTTGTTAGGCATGGCGTCCCTCTTGATGGCCGACTTCTCCTCCTTGAGTTTGTCCACCAGTTTCATCACTCCCTGCGCCTCCTCTACCTTTCCCTCGCAGCCCAACGTCTCGATCTGTTCCAGTAGTGTATCGATGCGTTCGGTCAACACTTTAATCTTCTCCTGAAGCTCTTCGGAGAGGACGGCGTTGCCGGCCGTCAGACCCGAGTTCTTCTCGAGTTGGCTCATCTCCAGGCGCTGTTTCGCTCGCTTTATCTTACGCTCGACTTCGTTGAGCTGCGACTGACAGAAGCGGATGAACTCGTCCTCAAACACCATCTTCTCCTTCTTGCGGGCCCTCTGCTGGTACTCCTTCTTGAGGAAGTCGTCGTGAACCAGATTACACGGCCCGATGTCGGCCCTCGTGTTCGTGAACAGACTGTTCGGACAGAACTGCACTAAGAAGTGACGGCACACCTGTTGTCGCGAGTGATGGTCACCAGAGATGGTGCAGTAAATAAGAGATAATTAGTGCTATGTTTGGTGATCAGTGTCTCGTATACGGTGTACTAACCCCGGGATCATTCCAGTCGAGCGATGACTTCTTCTCAGAGTCCGCCAAATCCCGTTCCCGACCCATGAGTTCGTCCAACAGCTGTTTGGCCGCATTGATGGCCATGTCTTGTGGTGTTTGCGTCGGCCGATCACCGCTATTGGATCCGTTTGATCGGTGTGTTTGTTATGTAAACAAAGCGATCAGTTGATGATCTCTGGCAACGATGAGCGTATGTGTGAGACAATGAGGTGCTGTAGTGGTGGTGATGGTGTCGGCGGTGGTGTGGATGAGATAATATCAGTGATAATCGGGTGATAAGTCAATCGCAGTTCATATGGTTTTGTGATTACTATTAACTGTTAAATGTGTTGATAATAGCAATGCTGTGATTGTATGGCTTTTCACAGCCACTGGCGCCACATATTAGATGGGAATGGCGTTCACCCACACTATCACTGTATTTGATTCATACCTTTTTGAGAAGGTTTGTGTCCACAGATATTAATGGATGAGTTGGGGATCAGTAGGTGTGGCAGAGCCCGAGGAAAGGGATTGAAATGTAGAGGAAAATAGTAATTATGAGTAAAATTTAAGGAAATATAAGTGAAGTGATAGTGAAGTAAAATAAACTTTTTATTTCATTAGCAAAGACGGGAAACTTTGATGATATTCTGTATGAATACCAGGCCTCCCTATCCCTTACTTTATGTCGTGAAAAATTGATTCACAATTAAATCACTTTATTATCAATTAGTTTTTAGTGACAAAACTTTTTTGCATTACTTTGCGCGAGATTTACCTGAGTTTGCAATTGTTATGCCTCGCGGTTGCTGTCATTCAAAGTTTGAATACTCTCACAGAATATTCTCGATTCAAATGATTCTGTAGTCAATAATTGTCTAACGAAAACAGACATCGATTTATATCCGGGTAATTAGTGTCGTGTCTCGTATACAATGGGTAACTGGTGGACGACATTACCACCATTTCCTATAATTATGAACACCACGTCGGAGGTGACGGACTCTCTGGAGGAGGCCGACCGCAAAGAGTTGTCCAAAAAGACGGGCTTTACCTACAGACAAGTGGATCAGCTGTACGAGCGCTTCGAGGAGTTGCTGCGGT